CAACTGGCAAGTTGCTAAAGTTGACCATGGCAAACTGTAAGGATTTTTTAAAATTTTAAAACGTGGGTGTCATGTTCCAAACAGAGACTAGAAAGGGGAGATGAAACGCGCTGACACAAAACTCAAATGGCCAATGGGAGCACGGAATGCTTAACTGGAAAAGAAACAGAGACACTGCCCCCTCCCCCAGCCCCACCTCCTCAGCCACACCTCCAGACACTCCTACTGGAGAAAGGCAAAAATGAGGCACCCACTCACAGAGATCAGCTGGGAGCCGAGGGGCCTCACGCCCAGGCCTCAGGGTGCCAGGACCCCTGGGAAGAGCAGGCTTGGGGGCATCCTGAGCTGGAAGTGGCCTAAGTGCCAGGGACACAGCAACGCTAAGAACTTGAAGATATAGAGTTCCCCCAGAGGAGGGGCCTGAAATGAACCCAGCTCCCTGCCCCTCAGCCACACAGACGGCAGACCAAAGGCTTGGAAGAAAGGTCTGAGCCCAGCTCTGCCTTGACAAGCACCACAGTTCTGAGACAGTGGTGTCACAGACTCAGTTTTCTCATCTGCAGAATGGGATGATCATTCTGGCCACCACTGCTAACTGAGCATTCACTCTGGGTCAGGCACCACACATGTGTTTACTGAGCACCTACTGTCTCCTGGCTGCTGCTTAGGCACTGGGGAGACAGCTATGGTAAAACAGGTTCCAAGGGGAGACAGTAAACAAGATCCACAAATAAAATATGTTGTGGCAGGTGGCATTTAATTCTATAGAGAAAAATTAAGTCGGAAAGGGAGCATGGGGGGAAGGGAGGTTGTAATGTCCTACAGGGACACTGGGGAGGCCAGATGGTATTTGGTCAAAGCCAGGCAGTGAAGGAAGGGGTTGTGTGTGCAGAGATCTGGGGAAGAGCTGTCCAGGCAGAGGGAGTGGCATGTGCAAAGGCCCTGAGGTAGTTGCAGGCCGGGTCTGCTGGAGACACATCAAGGAGGGCGGGCAGGTGGCCAAGAGGCAAGAACAAGAGTGCTGGGAGTGAGGCCAGACTGCAGGGCCCTATGGGTCCCAGGGAGGAGTTTGGCTGGAGCCAAGAGAGGGTCCTGACATCCAGGACACACCAAGAACATAGTAGATGCTCAAGTAACAAAGGCAGAGGTGGCCCTGGTGGAAGCCTCCATTCTGTAGCTTTACTTGTGGTTCCCTGGTCCCTCTACAAGCCTGAGTCCTTCAAAGAGGCCTGGGTCCAAAGGTGAGGCAAGGAGGGGGAGGCCTCAGCTGCCCAAGATGTGGAAAGTCCACGGAAGTGGGGGCTATCAGGCAGGATCCAGGAGGCTGCGCCTGCTGACTCTGAGAGCAGCTTCGATGCACAGCCAGGGCCAAACTGCTCCCTGGGGCAGCTGGGGAAGGGGCTCCCGCCCCTGTCTGGCCACACAAATGGAACCACATCCAACACTGCAGGGCTGAAGGCTAATTAGGGGGCTGGGCTGGGGAGCCCCAAGGTCTAGGCTAGGAAGCTCCCAAGGGGGCGGATGGGGCAGTAGAAATGTGAGCCTGGCGTGTGCCCCTGGGAGGTGGGGGATGGAGGGGCTGGTCTCAGCAGAAACACTTCTGTATGCCTGATACCGCACCTGGGCCACAGCTGAGCAGCAGAGCCCAGAATCTCTAGCCCAAGCTCATAGCCCCCACAGCTCACGCCAGCACAGCGAGGCCTCAGTAGCTAGATGAAGTAGCCCAGACACAGACTCCTGCATGTCAGGCCTTCACTAGGTCCTGAGGATACAGCTGCCTGGAAGTTGGGGTGGCAGGCAAGCCCAGGGCCTGTATGGGACCTCCCTAGGGGTGAGGGGGGCTCAAAGTCAGTCTGGCATACAGGTGCCCCCGGTGGAGTGTCTGTGGAATGAGGGAAGGTGCAATTCTGTCCCTGAGAAAGCAACAGGGCTCTGGGTCCGAGGCACACAAGCTGGTCCCTCCAGTGCCTCTCAGGGCACAACAGAGAGAACGCCACCCTCTGCACTGGCAGGCCATTAGGAAATTAAGTCAGCTGGCAGAGCACTGGGTCTAGGCCAGTGCCCAATGGGAGCACTGGTCCTGCCCTGGGCCCAGCTCCTCTGGAAAACCCACCTGCCCCTGCCCAGCCCCCACCCCACCCCCACGGCACCTCTGAAGCCTCTGGCCACCCTGCACACGGCCCAGTTTCAGACCAGCTCTCCTTCATCTTCGGCTTTTCCCTACTGCCGTGTCCCTATCACACTGCCAATTCCCAGACACAGCCATCCCATGGGGCTGAGCCCAAGTCCACCATACCTTCCATGTGGCCAGCCCAGCCTCCTCCCCTCCTGCTGCCCACGAGCTGTCCCCACCCGGCCTCTCCTCTGTGCCAGCCTGTGGCAGGACTCCAGTGGCAGACCCAGGGGAAGGGCAGGTGTGCCCATGTGTCTCTCACAGTAAAGCCCTGGCTGGGGCCCAGCCACAGACACCAGCTGCACCTGTTGGAGGAAGGGCCCAGCCCAGAGTTGGCCCGGGAAGGGGGAGGGGTGGGGGGCGGATGAGGGTAGCTATCAAGTGGGCACTGAGCATGCACCAGCAGCCTCCCACCCAGGGGCCTGTTGAGGCCCATGGAGGTTGCTGGGAGTGACGATGCGGTCACTTCCGTCCCAACCATGTGCCAAGGCCTCTGGGTACCATGCTTGGTGTTGCCAACTGTGGCCCAGGGCACCGGAGGCCTGGCTGAGCGAGAGAAAACTGCCCACAGGCTGAAGCAGCCCCAGTGCTGCATAGCTGCAGGGCGCTGCTGCTGCTGCTGTTACTGTTATTACCAGGAACACTGCTGTCATTGTTATTTTGCTGCTGCAGGGCGGCCCAGTGTTACTTTGTTCTGCTTCCAGCAGCCTTGAGGAGGGGGACAGTGTGGCCCTGGAGCAAGAAGGCTAGTGGGGGCAGTCCCAGGCCTGGAGAGCACTAGGCAGAAGCTTCTGTCCAAACCAGACTCGCCACGTGGCTTTGGGCAAGACCCTCTCTGGGTACCTCTTCCTCCCAGCACTGTTGAGCACATACTTAGAGACAACTTGGGCAACCTGGAAGCCCCACGGGGATCTGACACGGTTGGTGGGTCTGACATGGTTGCTCCCTGGAAGGTTCCAGAGATGGCCTGACAGCTCAAGCCCTGCCCTAAAAAAGGTTCCTCCCCTTCGGTACTGAGGAGGGGTTCAGCCATGCCCTCACCTGGGGAGGGTTACAAGGAGGTGATCCGGGACATGGAGCTCCTACCTGCCAGGCGAGTGTCAACGTCCAGCAGTTACAGAGTGTCTGCTGTATGCACAGCGGTGCTCCAGTGGAGAAGAGGGGCCTTCCCTCTTGCCCAGCACGTTGGAGCCTCCCTCCTTGCCCCCAAGCGTGCTCAAGCAAGGCCCTCCCCATTCACTCCTTGCTCTCTCTGGTTGGGGCTTGGCCCCACCTAAAGGGAGCCTCCCAGGATCCCCCTCTTGGAGCTGCCAATTTCAGGTTCCCTGGTTGGTTGGAAGCGCCACCAGAAAAGCGAAGACGACTTAGCTGAAGAATCTCTTTGGAGGTCCCGAGCAGACACTGAGGCTCTTCTCAGAACACAGGAGCGAGTACTCCTCAAAAAGACTGGAAGGCCCTGGCGGCGCCGGGGCTGAGTTCTGTCTCCCCACCCCCCCCTCTCCCACCACATGGCTGCGGCCCAGGGCGGAGCTTCGGCCGGAGCACAGGGTGAGGCAGGGGCTCAGAGGGCAGCCAGGGGCCGCCTTCCTCCGACACCCCAGGCGGGCGGAGGGTAGGCCGGAGGCTAACGCCTTCTGGGTTCGCACCTTCGAGGAGGCGGCTGCCGATTTCAGCGGCGTGTGGGCGCCTCGGCACTCTCCGAGACAGAGCCTGAGAACCCGGGAACCCGGGTTCGGGACGTGGATGTGGGGGGCAGCAGGTCCCCAGCGCTTCACTGCCGGGCAGGGCGCAGGGGAGCCAAGAAGAAACTAGAAATGGCCACAGGCAGCGCCGCACTCCGGGATGAGCACCCACCCCTCCCTGAGAAATGGGGAGCGAGCTGGCCCCAAGTCCCGGCAAGCCCAAGCGGCGGGGAGGCGGCGAACATCCCCAAACGGAAGACCACCCCAATGAAACACTTTCCTGTGGCCCCTCCCCCCATTGCGAACACAGGTTTTAAGCTATTCATATGACATGTGCACGCTCGATGAGAACAGAGGCGCGGACACTGGCTTGGGCCTCAACTCCCACCTAAAGCCCCCCAAAGCGCTTCCCACCCCGGCTGCCACTTCCTATGAGCTCCTTGGTTCTCATTCCCGCTCCCCCGAGGACACTCCGAGAGAACGCGAACCCCCAGCCCTGAAACCCTGGGGGCTTCTCAGTCGAGCAGCCTCCCCTCAAAGATCAAGGCCGACTTCTAAAAGCAAAAAGGAGCCTCTGGACTTGTCGGCTGGCTCGCTGGCAGAGAATCATTTCGGGAATATTTTTACTCCATTAGAGCACAGGCGGTGGGAAAGAGAAACGCCTTCCCGGGCCCGCAGTTCTCGGGCGGGAGGCGTCCGGGCCGCTCGCACAGCCCTCAAGCCCCTCCCACACCCACCTGGACCGCGGGGTCCCCGGAAGGTCAAGCATGGGACCCACGTCGCGCGCGAAAGTGCCTCCGCACGCTCCCTCCAGAGCCCCCTCGTGCAAATTGGCCACAGGGGGGCCGAGGGCACCGCAAAGTTTTCCGGAGCGCCCCCCGGGACGAAGGTTAGCCAGGAGCAAAGTTCCCTGGTGGCAGTAGCCGGGGACATGGCAGGGGAAGAAAAGCTCGCCGTCAGCATTTCCTCCGATGGCTCACCAAGGGAGGAAAAAACCGAAACGAGAGGAAGAAAACACCCTCCCGCTCCACCTTCCCTGTCGCTGCACCACCTCGTGCTCACTCCGGGCCGGCAGGGGGTAGGAAGCTACCTGCGGGCGTGGGGCTGGACCCCGGGGCGCTGCGTGTCCGCGATCGCGCACTCACCTCGGTCAGTGGCCGGGGCGCGGCGCGCTCCGCGTTCTCCGAGCTCCGGGCGGCCGTCCCTGGCCCCGGCAGCCGCCGCGCTGGCTGCAT